ATGAAGTCACATGAATTATATATGTTCAAACTAACTGAACTGACAGCAAAAATTCAATGAACTAATCCTAAAACGAATGACCAAAGCATGACCAACGGTTCATCGAAAAAAATTAATAGCTTGTAGGGTGACAAGAAACACGAGCCGGTGTTGCTTTGATAAAATTTAAAAGTAACCAATATCGAAATTATCAAATTTTGCAACAAGTTAGGTACTGATGAGGTTACACACTTAAAACATAAACATCAGATTGAGTTTTGTGGGTTATGCTAGTAGATTTTTTGTTGGTAAAAGTAATATGTTTCATATCGATTCAATTATCGATAACAAAAAAGATATATGAAATGTATCTACCTGTTTTCATTAGCCTTGGCTATCTGGTCCGATCATTGAAAGGATATGGATTCCTTCACACCCTTGACCAGATTTGAGACTCTAGGGTATTTTTTAAAAATGGTAACACAACAGAACATGGTGCAATCTCTCGTACAATTTTAATCATACTACACAGGGCACCTCTTTCAGTTTACAAATGATCGCCACTGCTACTGATGTCACTAATGTCCTATGATATCGTAAAACTGACATTCTGAAGTTTCAGGAATATTCATTTTCAAATAGATTTGAATTACTCGTATGTGCAAAAGTCCTTTCAAGTTATTGTTTAAGTGCTGAAAACGACCATACTTCTATATCTGCATGACATTCAAAAATTAAATTTCTTAAGATAACAGTATACTAGCTAATTTTTGATTTCCGTGGATATCTCTAGATGAACTTTCATTTATACTAGTTCATTATGAAATTAATTCATAATTTGTTGTAGAAGTTTTACCATGATTTTATCAGGTGATAATGGCTTAAACTCAAACACTTGCTAATCTTTTGAAAGCAATTTATTTTCATAACCCATCGATTCCTATTCGCTTCAAATATAATCTCCCCGTCTATATATTGTGCAAATGTCGCAATATATCATTTTTCAAATAGCTGCAGTTACCGTTCTTCTGTTTGCTTTCAGCTATGGTTGAGTGAAGTGGGTATCAGAGATGTGAGTTGTTGACATTTCCAATGTAACTAACATTATTTACATTCCTAGGTAAGTTAGTTTTGTGGCATTCTCGATGAGTCCATCAGATAGCGTACATTCTTCGGCGTGATCAAGAATTTAAATTGTATATGTCCATAGAAACTAATTGATTCTGATGAATGTATGAAATTAATGTATATATATACTAGAATTCAACTTTTCCATGATAATAATTTTAGTAATATATCCCACTAAGTTCACAAGGAATTTTACAATAATAATATCATACAGGGCTATAAAGCATACAATTACACTAATTAGACTCATCAGGAAAAGAACAAAAAACTATATTAAATTATCGTTCAGGTATTTCCGTCGACTATAGTAACACTCATCCATTAGTTGTGAAAGTAGTAAGATTTTTCCTGACGAAAACCACACACTTGAAAATATACAGTGCTGGGATAGACAACAGTTTCATTCTGATCAATACTGGTTGACAACTTTCACGATATTTCATGTCAAAAATCATTATTAGACTATGAACACTCTGTTGAGATCCGAACTGCACCCCCAAGATATAATGTTCAGGAAAATATGTGGGAAAGCTATTGCATAATAGATGCTCATCCGACTTTTCTGATCTACACAGTTTTTCATTAGATTTATTGCAAAGAATGCTTTATTAACTTTCTTCCAGACACCATCAATATGAGAGTTACTATTCAAGGATTCATCCACAATTGTTCCCAAGAATTTTATTTCATGTAACATATCTATTTCAACAATTGAGAATACCACATCTTGAAAATTAGTTTTCCTGTTATGAAATTTCATTATCACTCATTTTGAGGTGTTCAAGACTATGCGATTGCGTTCACACTAAGAAGAGATTTCATTGATAATTCTACTACTTTTGGCTACCACGTCATTCATAGTGTGTCCAGTGTATGTAACAGTGGCATCGTCTGCATACATTGTAATGTGGCAATTGCTCACATATTCAGGCAAATCATTATGAACATAATGAATAATAATGGTCCTGAAATTGAGCCCTGAGGAACGCCCAGTTTGACGGCATACCACAACACATATTTATACAAGTTTCGTTTCCAAGAAAAGTTCTACAAATGCTTCTTGTACATAAAATAGATTCCTAAATCGGATCTGTAGATGATCACTCAATTGATTTCAGCAAGGACCTACTGCAGAAGGAAATGTATGTCCGATATATTTGAAATTCCGTTATGCCAGTGTCCAGGGAGGCATGCATCTCTCCCAACTATCTACACAGAAGATTCTGATAGATGCCTGCCGGAAAACAATTACTTTCCCGGCTAATACCACGCTGGATAACCTCACAGAGGTTAGTCTTGAACATGCTGAAATAATTCGCGTAGATCACCTATAGACCGGTTTCAAGGTAGTAGGTACGTCTCATCAGTGCAGAAAAGACCTGACCGAAACCGCAAAGTACCTGGAACTCGTGAATGAAGCCACAAGCGTGGAAGGAACATCCCATGTACCAATATTCAAACAAATATCAAAATGTGTCTGAAGACAGTATCGAGGAGAGATAATAACGTTTGAGAAAGTAAACATTTCAAAATGAAATCTTATAATATGCATCTCTCCCAACTACATATACAGTATGTTCTGGTACTTTCCCGGCTGATAGCACAATGGATATTGAATTATATCCGACAGACATTTATGCAAAATAGGTATGTCAGAGAGGTTAGTTGAATTCTGTTATAGTTTTGGTACCTGGTTGAAACTGTTATAGTATTTCCAATACTAATTGGAACAGCACAGAGAAGGAATTCCCGCCTCGACATAGGCGTCGGCTTATTATTTTTCAGTGGTAGTTTTTCAGTTACTTATTCTTACTATCATAGCAATTGACCACCCCATGAAAAAGTTATCTCAACTGAATTTTTCCACTTAGAGATCAATTACCCTAACACCAAACTGATATTTTTGCACGCGCGTTTCGCTAACAAGGTTAGCATCTTCAGGAGAAGCAAATTGATACTGAATCTAAAGACAAGGGTTAGCTGTTTATATACCTGAAGTTTTTTGGTCCGATGTGGACTTTGTTTGTTAAATGATGATTATCCTAATTGATTTTTCGGTAATTAACTAGTGGCACCACTACCTGCAAATTAATTTGTCAACAATAGATTAAAAAGCAGACAAAAATTGACTGTTATTTTTTTGTTTCCAAAAAAAAGTGAACTCTATCTTCTTCATGCATAGATCAATTGGAAATCTAGTTATACTTTGCCAAAATAACCTTCAATGAATCGTGAAAAAATTTTCATGAGCAGGATGCTTAATATATTTGATAAAAATCCTATATTTTTTGTATTCAATCAACCTCAAAATATAATCATTATAAAATAATTTTACTTTGTTACAATTTTAATTCTCTCCATAAGGGGCCGTTCAAGTATTACGTAAGCACTATTGGGGCGGGGTTTCTTTGCTTATTTTGATGACATGGGGGTGATTACGTCAGCTGTGATTATTTACATTTCTACACATATGGCAAACCCACACATGGAGGGGAGGAGGTAAATAATCGAAATAAATATGCTTATGTAATACTTAAACGACCCCTAAGTTCCAAACAGTTTTTTCATTATCATTTTCATGCATTATATCACATATTAGAGAAATAATGCTTCTTATTATGATTTCATAATTTTCTCTAACTCTTTATTTATAAAAAAGATATTCGATGACATAACATGATGTTGATGCTATCTATGTGTAATCCATAAAAAATGTTTCAAGACCTCTCTGACATAATATTCCAACAATCATTGATTGTGTACACAATGCCTATCTTGATACCTACCTTGATATCATCGACAGGAAATATTTTGTAATTACTTCGAGTAAATATAGCGATGAAAATAATATCCAGCGCTTTTTATTCAGCTATGTATTCGAAATATTCACTAAGTTGCTTGGATCCGTGAAGAAAACTTCCGTTTTTTTGCCAAATGAAGTGTTTTGAAGATAGGAGGGCTGGAAGTTTCGCCCTCGAGAAATTCTTTGAAGAGTCCAGGACATTCGAGTAATTCAAGAGCAATCTACAACATTTCAGAACATTTGAGCATGAACATGTTGAGGTATCCCTCTATCCCTAATCCATGAAGAAGGTTCACCTTTTATATCGTAACTTTTTTTGTGGATCATTGTTTAGAGAAATATTGACAGTATTTTAGAAATACCCTGCATACAGGGTGTTTATTAAACATACGACAAACATTCAAGGGATTCTTACTTGAATTATTCTAAGGATATTATGTCCTTTGATGATTTTTAATAGGTTTCGAAGATACGGAGTGGAAAAGAATTTCGACAATAACAATTCGTTACCAAAAAGTACATGTAATGTAATTTCTTAATCTACAAGAACTGTTGAAAATGACCCCGCTCGTATGCAAGAATCCAATCTTCACCTCATCGACTCCCGAACTCTTTCAAAAACACCATTAATCTTGAACAGTTCCCAGGTTCCCAGTTCCTCAGGTTTATTTTTAGGAGAACCACCTTTCTGCATAAAAATTTGAGATACATATTATGATTAGAAATCTTGAACATTTCCCAAAAAGTCTATCATCCAAGGTGGTGAACTATTACTTGCTATTGTTACATCATGAGGATATTCCCTAGATTTGCCCCTCCCTGGAATATGAAACCCCGAGTTCTGCCCAAACATTCAAACATATATTTTATTTCAATATTGGAAGCTTTATGGGTACACTCACGAGAGCAATCAATCTAATTGATAATTTCACTTTTTGTTTCATGGTGAATTGCGACATTCTTCATAACTCATCAAGTTGAACATAGTAATTTCTCGCTGGCTTGAAGTATTGCTCTCCGGAGACAGCATGAAATAATGCACTCTTGTCTGGAAATGCATCATAAATGACTCGTTTTTCTTTCATTCCAGGCTGAAGAACTGAACTCGATAGTAGGCAATGCTTTCAAGATGGCTTACGCGGCGCAGCTGCAAAAACAGACGAGCTTTCAAGATGTAATTGCTTCCCAAATGGATCAAACACAACCGGATAAAGTACTTTGGGTAAGCGTCTACAGACATGCCTTCAACGAGATTACGTTCAGAATTCTCCACACTTTCACCTCGGCAGTGTTTAGGGAGATTTTTTCTTATTTCGCCTCGCGTTCAATCAAACTTGGCGGATGGGGGTTGTTGATGGCTTTTTATCTCTGGTAATAAGGTTTAGCAGACGAGGCAAATCTGACAAAAAGAACTCGAAAATAAACGATTTTCAGGGTATGAAACATTTCTCATGATTTATTGGCGCTCTGGCTTGTTATTGTTTGGATACGATTGAATGATAATATTAAACTCATTTATGGTAATTCTTTATGAGTTCTACTTAGAACTATTTCGAAAAGTAAACAATGTAGAATATTCTTATAAAAAACGAAAAGTAACTGATTGAAATCGATTCATTTGAAATTTTTTCAATCCACCTTCTTTTTGGTTATATCGAAAACTGGTAAGAACCCTCAAAAGTATATAATCGGCGATTATGTTTTCATTTCCAGGATATACTCGTAGATCATCCTAGTGCCGCTAATGATTCTTTTTTTCTCATTAAAAGTAACGAGGTGTATTTTCTCAAGGCAGAAATTTTGAAAGTTGTGAAAAAGTTGATAACCCTAGTCAAGCCCATATTGTGGAGCTCTTCAAAATCTTTCCCAGAGACAAGATGTGGAGTTTCCATAGCCCATCACAAAGACATCAACATACGTATTTTTTTTAAGGATGAAACACAAGCACTACAGGAAAATCCTTAAGGCGCTCTTAGAGCGGTGCCTGTGCGAAAATAGTGATTCACGTTGGATTTGAATCGCTAGAGATTAAATCTATTTGGAAAAACTTTCTATTTTCGCACAGGCGCTCTTAGAGCGGTGCCTGTGCGAAAATAGTGATTCACGTTGGATTTGAATCGCTGGAGATTAAATCTTTTTGGAAAAACTTTCTCAGGAAGTTTATTCCACATAAACGCAGTTCTCCAATAGAAAGAATTCTTGAACGGTGAAATTTGAGGTGAACTGAGTTGAACCTCAAAACGATGAGCAGCCACAGTCCGTCGCATATTTCTGATATGTACTGTTTTTGATGGAATCAAATGTGCCAAGTGACTTGAACACTTCCCGTGAAAGTATCTATGAATAGAGATAAATCTCCAACCTTTCTTCGATGTTCCAGACTATCAGGGTTGCAAGTGATATTCGCGTCTCCAATCAAACGGATGGCTTTTTTCTGGATGGAATCCAACAGCTTCAGGGTATGTTTGGGGGTGGACCTCCATACATGAGAACAATACTCCAAGGAAGGTCTAATCTGAGCTCCATAAAGCATCAAAAGTTGCTGGGGTGTGTACAGTTTTCTGGTTCGGAACAGTGTTTCAAGCTTTTGAGAAGCATCCTTTGCAATTTCAGCGACATGATTGTACTTAGACATATTGTTGACCGTTTTAACCCCCAACAAACTCATCGAAGCAGAAAGCGGAATTGTCTGTCCTGACATTATTATATCTAGTTCGGAGACATTTATCTTCTTGGAGAAAACCCATGTCTGGGTTTTTGTGGAATTGAATTGAACCTGGTCACTTCCACCCCAAGTCGAAATTACTTCTAGATCCTCACTAGAATATGAAGATGTGCATCCACAGCCGATGTCTTCGAACCCAAATGTAATGACGAGACAAGTATACTATCATCAGCAAAGCAGTATATTGGATTCTTGGTTTTTTCCAATGATTCGTTGATATACAATGATCTGAATCTAAAACTGAACTAAATAACCTCTTATAAAACGGTTATTGAACAATAGTATATGACTGTAGCTGTAATAACATAGGAAAGATATGACTTCATACCTATCAAATCCAAACCAGATGAAGGTTTTTAGCAGGTCCACAAAATTTGCAGAGTAACTACGCAGAAAATCCTTCAAACCATTTCTGTAAAATTTGGCTCAGTTATAAGATTTCATTTCATGAGATAATCAATTGAAAATGAAATTGCATGAATAGGCATGGGTAGTTTTCATTTCAGAACTCAAGATGTCATATCGCTGTCCTTTTGGAAATAAATACATGCTTCTCTTCATTCTTAAGAATTACTCTGTATATACTGAGCTTCAAGTTCATAGTGGGTTCTCTGGTAATAATGATAATAATAATACGTGTATTTACATTATATAATTATTATACAAAAATACTACATTCACTGTCATATGGCTGGAAAGTTGGATATGGATATAGGCTCTCAAATAAAAGAGGAACAAATTGTAAAATGAAATAAAAAACACACATGTATGTATATGAGGATACACCATACATATTTCTTGTGAAAGATGATTTATATTTGAATTTGCATAAGTAAATAGCGCCAGTCTTTTCGTTATCTGAATACATAATTGATATCTAACTGGGTGCATAAACGTAGTAGCAAAGCCTACGCTTTTAAAAATGGTAAATTGAGTGAGATGCTATTTATTTGTACAGAGTGGGCCAAATTGGACCCTTTCAAAGGGAAACTCTTGTCTGAGGGTTAAATTTTATGATAAACTCAATGGTGAAAACAATATCTGTCATCGTTTCTGTGTTACAGTATGTTTTCCGAAAATGTGCATTTTCGAAAAGTTGCTGTAACTTTTTTCCTGTCAAAAATTTCTTGTTTCTATGAAAACATTTTCAAAATACTTTTTCACGTAGAATTCAATGGTGTAAAAACTAATTTTTTCAAAAATGTGGCACACTTGATGTTTTGCTAGAGTGATCTTTGAAATACAGAGCTTTTAGCCTTTTTTACGTAGACTTCGAAACGCACACTTTGATTAAGTAGGCTTTGAACGATGTGGCGATAAAACAGAATGCAAATCTTCACTGATAGCTGTCAAATTTTGACTGAAGCAGTAAAGACGCTCTTCAATTGGTGGATTTTGTTCAATTTTCAAACGCATTCGCAATGAAATATGAGAATTATAAAAAATGAGATATGATAGTTTGTTTTATACAAACTGGAAAAAATGCAGAAGCAGCAAGCAACCTAATTAATGGTGGTCAATTTGAAAAAAAAAGGCGAAAATTATATGAATCGAATAGGGATGAAGAGTTGGAAGAAATACCTAATCGTTTTAGGACCTGTTGAAAATAATCTTTCTGTTTTATCGCCACGTTGTCCAAAGCCTACTTGATCAAAGTGTGCGTTTCAAAGTCTACATGAAAAAACCCTGAAAGCTCTGTATTTCAAAAATGACTCTAGCACACACAAGTGTGCTACATTTTGGCAAAGGTAATTTTAAGTTCTATTGAAATATGCAGGAATATCCAGGGTGTTTCTTTAAAAAATAATTTTTCGTCAATAACTATTCATGTCTCATTTGAAAAAATTAGTTTTTTTCACCATCAAATTCTACGTGAAAAACTGTTTATAAATGTTTAAATAGAAACAAGAAATTTTTGACAGAAAGAAAGTTACAGCAACTTTTCGAAAACAATTATAGATATCGAAATGTTTGCATAAAAGACCCTCACACACAACCATCAGTTTTCATCTAACTAGTTTGATAACAGGAGTTTCCCTTCAAAAGTGTTCAATTTGGCCCATTCTGTACGAAATTACACAACAATCGTATTTTGATAAAAAAATAATATTTTCATCACTTCCAGAATTGGGAATTATAGAAATATTCAATATTAAAATTGATTCATGAGAAGTCAGCCTTGAAACAAGGATAATTGTAATAAAAAAACTTACGAAAGAGGAAAATACGAATGTTCGTTATATTATCGAAATTAATGCTTGATGTCTGAGGTTTGCCAATAGTTGAATACGTTTTGAAGGAATCAAAACAATTCACAAAAGACCTAACGAAAGGACCATTATTAAAAATTGTTGTTTCTGGTGATCCTAGTTATTTCTGATGAAGCGCTATAAAAATATCAAACATTATATACCACTGGATTGTGATTTTAACGCTCTATCAATATTTGTGATTAAAATGACGGGTGCGTATTTGAAAAATAAACTGATGGTGGCCGTTTTGACACGAAACGTTCAACCAAGAGAGTTCTAGTTACATAATTATAGTACATTTCTAATAAAATAGACCCGTCTTCTTCGAAAACAGCATTTTTAGTTTTCCATGTATAACTCGAGAAGAGTGAAAGTCTTTGACCATTGTACTACTGTTCCCGACGATAGTTGACGTTTTCCCCATTCAATCATCCTCATATCTGTTACGGTTTACAATATAGCAAAGTAAATCCACCAAGAAAAAATCAATCAATTTCAATTTTAATATTCTCAATATCCCACTGCGATTGAATTTAAACACAGGCAACTTCCTGTTCCAAAGATCGCACGCACAGGCAGTCTTATTTCTACCAATCCACCATAGATAATATAATAATCAAAATAGATCTTGCAACTCCCACCATATATAATACATCAAAATAGATGTCAACTTGTTCATGGTTGAAGCGTTCATGGTTCCAGTTCAGTGCTGTCATCTTGAGAGTATTTCGTTTATCCGTCGCGTCGGGTTGGCTAACTTTGACAACAAACTAGATATATTGGTAATTTTTATGTGGAGTTTTTATTGAAAATTAACGATAGGTGTAGTTGAAATATAAATTTTGAACATGATTAAAATGAATAAATATGTAAATTAATCAATGTTTATGTTTGTGAATTCCCAAGGATTCTAAATAATGGAGTGTGAATCCTTGGAAATTCACAAACATAAACATTGCGGGTGCAACCTATTAAATGATCAAATTGATATACTCAGGTACTCAATCAAGCCAAGTACCTCTATTATTACCTACAGGGGTGCTATATAAAGGCTAATAATGGTAATAAACCAATGTTAGTTCAATGTATAAGTTTGTAAATGTCCTTATAGGACGAAACTGCAGTAATGATAGTCACAAATAAAAGTGGTAAAAAACATAGGAAGTTTCAATTCTCTTTTCTTCATTATGATTTCCTACCACGTAGTGGCTACATCCATCAATTTATTTTTCTCGCTACATCTAGAACGGCAGCGAACATTGAACACTCGCTCGCTCTAAGCTACGTCACAATTGGTTTATAGCTACCAGTGGTGGCCGTTGTTATTTTCTTAAGGGCATGATTTACAACAATACCTTGATCCTGTTGACACCTTGAGCATTCGACTTGATATCTAAAAGTGCACTATAACCTGACTTTCATCAATTGACATGAAGGAAAACTCATTAACACCTTTTTTTCTGTCAGTAGAAAAATAATTCAAATTATCAAGATCTGGAGTCAAGTGTGTATGAGAAGATTATATGAAAAATGTATCAATGTCATCCGGATTCGTGGGATTCTCTGGAAGATCGTGTGATCTATTATTTTCGTATATGTTCATGCTTTTGAGTTGACTTTTCATCATGTCATTGCAAATAAGCTTTTTTCTCATTGTATTATGTCCAAAGTGCATCATTTTTTTATTTCGTCAATGTGATTCCGAAGTTCATTCATCAGTTTTGAAACATCCATCAGCCAAGGTTTGTTTCTTTTCACCCAGCATGATATGCTACGTTGCATATACATTTAACTTATCACCTTTCAATTCAATATTCTCTGTTTCATAAATCTGGTGGAGAGAGATAAAGGAACATTCTTGAACTAAGCTATCCACAATAATTCATTCATTTCAAATTTCTCAACTAACTTATCTATCTATAATATATGTATACTCTCAACTATATACAGTGTGTAACAACGAAAACTTAACAGAGCCGTTTTTGAATATCAAAAGTAAGATTTTTAAAAAAAGCTCGAACACGTCGATTTTTGGTAGCTACTCTATGGTAGACGCTGACTACTGTATGGTAGTCAGCATCTGGTAGGATTCACTATAAGTTTCTGCAACAGTGCCAAACTATGACAGCAGAGTTCTATTATGAGTAAATTAACGGAATGTACCGAAAATATCGCTAGCCGCAGACGACACTGCTCAACAAAAGAGGTTCGATTCTTTATCGACATCGCTCGTCCGCACGTTTTACAAATCATCGTACGAAAATTAAACGAATTGAGCGTCGTAGTTCTGCCTCATCCACCATACTCCCCAGACCTCTCGCCAACTGACTACCATCTTTTCAAGCACTTCGATAACTTTCTCACCGGTAGAAACTTCGCCAATCAGAACCAGGCATAAACGACCTTTGTCGACTTTGTCGAATCCCGAGCGTGCAATTTTCTTGCTAACGGAATTAATTGACATGGGTTGCCTTGGTAAAAGTGCACTGATTCCAATAGCGCACATTTCAATTGAATTGAATGAGTATTCTCTGAGATATAACAGTGGACTCATAAAAAGCGAAAAAACTTTTGAAATAACTTAATAAATGCATTCGGAATCTGACATTATTATTTCACTAATTTACTTCGCTCAATATCTCTATCCCATTTGGTTCCAGACTGATCTTTCTCAACTGCTGTAAAATATAAAACAGAAGAATCTCGATCTTTCTATTCCTAAAATAATTCATCGTTACGTTCTGTATATTTTTGGGTAGAAATTATATAAATTGATAGATGTAGCCGTTACTACGTGGTAGAGAATTTAAAATTTCTATGTTTTTTACCACTTTTATTTGTAACTAACGTTACTGCAGATTTGTCCTATAAGGATATTTTCAAACTTATAAGACGAAACGTTAGTTACGTTAGAGCGCCCGTACACGAGCCACATTTTGCGGTCGGATCGACCACACAATTGCAGTCGCGTTTCAGCGAACTCAAGCCGCTCATAAGAAATACTCTACTACACGTACACGGGTGTTCACAAAAGTCAAAACGGGTGTCTGCAGTCAACTTGCTGCTGATCTCCCCCGAGATGTCATCGCGGCATCCGCCGTACACTAACCACAAACTTGCAGTCGTACCCAACCGCGTACACCGTCGTGTACTTTTTCTCATATTGGTCTCTCAGCGTTCAATTTTTAATTTCAAAATTCAAATCAATTCATCAAAAGAACTAATGGACATTCAAAATGTTTTTTTCTACTCCCGTACGTGAAATAGTACTTTCACACACCGTTCACGAATTGTAAAATGTAATTTCACGCCCTTGTGCGTGAAATTATTTTTACGCCCTAGGGCTTGAAATAAACCCATAAGAATAACATGGTACATTCAAGTGTTTTTATTACCAGTGCGTGAAATATACTCATAAGAAATACATTGTAGTCTGTCCATAAGACCTAATACATGAATATTTCGCTGATAGGCGGCCTTAGTGCATCTTTTGTTTAACAGCAGCAATAAATCATAAATTTTCTCTGTATGGTCGTAGAAAAAGTATAGTGTGCAACATGTGCGTGAAGACTTTTTTACACTCGCGTTGTTTGTGACACTCGCCTGAGGGCTCGTATCGCAAATTCCACGCTTGTGTAAAAAAGTCGATTTCACGCACTTGTTAAACAATATACTATTTTTGTTTAGCCGGAGTTTACCGGTTGTTGCTTGTATGTTATTCCATTGTAATTTCAGTTTTTCACTTAATAAAATTGATTCTTTCAGGTATTTCAAATCAATTCATATCATATTAGACGATGGAGGTCCGAATTGATGAAATGCACCACGAAAAATTGTCAACCACCTTCAAAGAAAATATGAAAATTTCCTTCCTGTTATCGCGCAATCAGAAGTGGATGTACTCAAAACGATCGTACCTTCCTATGTCTTCTCCTTCTCCTCAAAATAAGAAGTAGTATTGCTACGTCTACGAAATCCATATTGAAACTGGCACTAAACTCTGACACCACAAAATATAGATGTCCGTTGCCTCAACTGCAAGTGCGGTTTATATGACCGCAAGTCGACCACAAAAATGTGGTTGAGTCAACCGCGAAGTGCAGTCAACGTGGCCACAATGTTGTGGTTGCCTCAACTGCAAATATGTGGTCCGTGTACGGCCGGACTTAGTTACAAGTGGTAAAAAACATAGGTTAGAGAAAAAATCGCAAAATTATTCAGTTTTATCCAGAACTCTTTTTGGTTTCAAGGAAGTACTTTAAATCCGAACGATTAGTTATTATTTTAAATGAATCAGATTCTGCATATTTTTGTAGAAAGATTCGTTCCTCAAATTAAATTAGTTGTGAGAGTTTTGTCTTAGAATTTCATAATACAATTATGTTTGTGATTTTCATTCTCAAACTCAACTCAAAAAAATTAAATATGTCTAGCTATATTTTCCCAAATATTTATGTTTAATTTTTTCGAATGTTACGCATAAATGACAGGTTGAAAATACCTAATGCGAGCATATACAGAAATCATTCATACAGATTGCAATGCAAGCTTCAAACAATCATTTTGGAACATATTCTGGAAGGATACTGACATTCAAATTAAAAACGGAATATTTCTTAACGTGTGGAATTTTTTTTGTATGACTATGAAGACATAAAACATTTTACCAAAAATATTGATGTTTTTCATACTTTCATTTAGTTAGTGTATGTTCCATTACTTTTTGCATCACTAATAATTTTTTTTTCAGGCCAAAGAACTATCAAATGCTTTCAAAAAAGATCGCCCTCCCAATCAGCAGCAGAAAAATCTCCCCAGTTCCGATAAAGACGTTCAGCTCACGGCCCAAGATGCTGCGACTCTTCGCGTGGTTCCACCTACAAATATACCAGGACTCAAAACGAACCAACAGCAAAAGTTCAATGTCCTCGGACCGACAACCGTGGAGAAAAATAATTCCCAGCTCTCGACACCCAGCAGTGATGAGAGTAACTCGCCTACTGAGATGAACTCGTACAAAAGGATGTTGGAGAAGCCTACATTAATCAAAAGGATAACTATGGGGTTGACGGGCAATAGTACCAATAGCGATGAGGATAGCTGCCCCTTGGTTGGGGAGACTAACACTCCTAGTACCCCGGGTGAGTTGGATTCGAATTTTCTATGATTTTGGATTAATCATCCAATTATGAATCAAACAATGAAGGGATCTATGTTATCTCCAACAGTTTTCCTTTAGTTTATCGATGTAAGATTTTCCATTATATTTTTCTTTCTTAGATCAATCAGGATATACAGCTTGTTGAATCTAGGAAGCGACTTCTAAGGCTCGGCTTGAGAGAAAAAAAGAGAAATAAAATTTTCAAGTCTCTTCCTAGTTTCGACAAGCTGTACGTAAAGAACTATCTATTTAGTGATTGCTTTCTGATTTTCTAATATATCTTCTGGGTATGCTGCGGGGTTCTAACGTGAGGTCTCTACTACTTTCTATATTCATCAATGAAATTTCCAAAAATACACTGCATTTCTTTAATGCCCCCCCTACAGTAACGTCAATATCTCTAAAAATATTTATTATTCTCTGCCGCATATCCAATATCAAAGCAGGTCAGTTTCGTACACCTTTTGCTTCAAATAGTCCCATAAATCCAATCCAACGACTGGGAAAAGTAGTATCCAAATAGTTTCTTACTTGTGAGTAATGCGGTGGTGCTCCATCTTGTTGGAATACAATATCCATATCGAATTCATTAGGATTCGCTTCGACGATTTCAGTGATGAGAGGGTCAACAGTAGTTTTCAGTATATTCAAATACAGTTCCCCTGTTGAATTTTAAACAATAAATAGGGGTCCTACAATATGGTTTCCCAATATTCCTGCCCAAAACGTAAATTTTTTCTGGATATTGGGTATGTGTTTCCCGGAAAACGTGAGGGTTAGTGTCATTCCAATAACGGCAGTTTTTTCTGTGAACATTGTCGTTTAAAAAAATGTACATTCGTCACTGAAACAAATATTGTGGTAGGATGCCTTACAATGGTTTCCGTCATGATTTCGCAGAATTCTGTTCTTCGATCAGGGTTATCTTCAGTTATTTGGTGTACCATTTTAATTTTGTATGGATGATAAATATTCCTCTTCAAAAGTCTCCACACAGTAGAAGGACATACCTCACAAACTGTTCAGGATTTACTACCATCTCACCAATTATTTGCTCTTGCTGTTCTTCAGGAATGAACGGGTGAACTGGGGGCTTTTTGTTATGTACACTACCGGTAGTTGTGAATTTGGATACAAGTTTTCTCAAATACTTTCTACAGATAGGACGATTCGGAAAACGTTCATTGAAAATCCTTTCAGTCTCGTGAAAGTTACGCGTCGCACAGTAATTTTTTTTTCCAATGGACGAGAATTGACCATTTCAGAGATCAATATTACTGGAGTTTTTTTCCAACACCAAATCGTTATTTTTAACACCTCGGCACGTGTTTCGATCACCAAGTGATCATCTTCAAAGAGGAAGATTAAAACTAGAAACTAATGCGAGCTAGCCCTATTTATGCTATATAGGTATCCCATACAGGTATACCAACCTAAATTAATTTTACAATTTTGCCTTATCTATTATTTTACAATATATGTTTATATAAAACAATTTTCAGTTATATAAAAATTAATTTCACAATATTGCCTATCCAAATTTATTTTTGCAATGTGTCCTTATGTAGTAATCAGTAAACGCAACAACATTATTTTATTTTAACAAGCTGTATAGTATGCTCTTTGGTATATGTCCGTCTTCGTTATTCATAATATTATTGTGTTTATTTATTTCTACACTCTCATAGGCATCCAGTTGCCTGTTGTTGTTAACTTGTCTAACTAATCTTAATGAACTGAAGTCTATGTAATGGTTTTGTTGCAAAATATGATGGGCGACTGCTGATTTTTCAGGTCTTCCATATTTTAAGTGTGCTATGTGTTCTTTATATCTTACTTTATTAGATATTTTTGTATGTCCATAATATTTTGCATCGCAGTCCTTACTTCATACCTAGTTCCTTGAAAGGAACCTCGGTATGAACTAGTAGGAACAAGGAAATAGGTATGAATTTGGTTTTTAAACCAAGTCATACACTACAGAGCCTTTTAGGAAGTCCAAAAGACAAAGTCGAGAATTCGGAAAAGTCTGGAATTTACGAAATTTACGGTAATTGTGTACACGTAAGTTACACGGAGCCATGTGTGTCAAATATAGAGCATAATTACAATACGATATGTCGTCAGTGGTAAAACATAAAGTATATATGAACAAAATATCACAAAATACACAAATTCAGCACATTGAAATGCTCGTATAGAGAAAAATAAACAATCAAAAGTGTTAATAATACATACACATACTAGTCGAAATAGGTAATACATGAAATTAATTGTAGACTGGCGGATGTGGATATCCAAAATACTCATTAATATTATAAAACAACCATCTACGAGATAGACTCTGATTCCCCGTTTGAATGCTGAGATTGATGCTACAGTATTGTTTTTATCAGACTCAGGTCTATGCTAATATGTCACATATTTTGTTCAATTTCATTTCATTTTTACGCAAAATCTGAAAGATCTGTTTCAACAAATGAACATCGTCGAGCTCTTAAAAACACACCTAGCGGCTGCTACAAAGTAAACAATCAATACAGCTTATCACACTCACCAACATAATGAACAAAAATGGAAATCGGACCCTTCAAATCTGTGATATTTAAAAATTGCCATTGTTTTATGAACGTAGGTACATTCAAGTTGCATTCAAAATTTGATTTGAAAGTTTATTTTTTTTTGTGGTTTACAAATAAATATAAAGTGGGAAAGACAGTTTTTGGCTTTCTTCTACCCCATATTGATACATAAAACGTGGGAATCTTTCAACGAAAGGAAGAAATTAATCAATTTTAAAATAAGTAACTCTATACATGGATGTGTAGATCATGCAAAGAAGTAAATTTCAGACAGAAATGTAAGAAAAAAGCCCTCCTGAAATAGCTACTGTCATACAAACATTGAATTACACGAAAGAAAAATAATTTCAAAGACAATATCCTCTACTCAGTTTGTATTCAAAGCATTCGTTATGAAATCAGATATCATTCACGGGAGTTCTACACTGAATGAATGGTGAAAAAATTGCACTTACATGAAACACTGCCATCCTCACTTCAATACCAATCTGGACAACATAAGAAAAAACACACAGTTCATTCATGAATTACGATTTTTATGTCACGAAATAAGTTTGATCTACTTATGTCATCGATGACATCGTAAAGACATTCATTCACCTATTTGATCTAATCACAGCCAAGAGGAATCTTATTTGAATTGAAGGGGTTATATTTTTAGGAGTGACTAATTTTGAAATTGGTTACGTTCTTCCTTTCTATGGAAGATTTCCACATTTTTTGTATCAAGATGGAGTAGTAGAAAGCCAAAAACTTTCTTTCCCAAAAGTTAGTCACTCCTAAAAATATAACCCTTTCGATATAAAGAATATAAGTTGTTTTTATGTTTTTGGTTATCAAAATAACAAAGCATATATGATCATATTTTAAAGCATATCTGATCATATTCACGGATTTTTCACAAGAATAAAGGTATTTTATTGATTCGTGTTCCCCATAATCATCAGTTGATTTCATAAATATTATTTTCAATAGAAAAATTAGTTTCAATAATAATTGGAAGAACAGTTATCTGTTAATGTTATTTCTAAAGTTGCCAAAACGTCGAGAATATTGTTTTTACATCTCTTGTTATACAGGCAAATGAATTTTGTTGGAATAATTCAAGACCAGATCATTATTACCTACCTATTTATGAAATATAAATTTAATATTTGAATTCACTTCTAGGCAGTCCGATGCATCGAGCTGTTTCGGACGGTTATGTCAACGAAAATGAAGAACTGAGGAATAAATCAAACAACAAAACAGATAATCCACGAATCTCAGGTGAAGAATACAATTCAAATAGGACCAAACACTTAGATATAGACAGAAGCAGTCCACTGAAGAAAAACGAAAAGGACTTGCAATGCAACCGAATTTCGCAAATCAGCTCAAGCAGTTCCAGCTCTGGACAACCTACTGCTCCTGAAGGCCACATGGGAAGTTTTACCGGAGCCCCAACCTTACCTGAGAGAACCGACTCCCTGAACAACATAGAACCCGAAGAACTCCGCCAAGCTGGTTGGTTTCAAGCAGGTATACCTAGGGAAATAGCTTTGGAGATACTGTCGAGAGAGCCAGTGGGAGCGTTCATGGTTAGGGATAGTACAACGAAACCTGGATGTTTCGCACTATCTCTGAGGGTACCGAGGAGTTTTCAACCCACTGGCATTGCGCATTATCTAATACTAGGAGTGAATAAAGGCTACAAAATCAAGGTGAGGGTCTTGCAAATTCTTAACTAATTCAAATGTAGGTGAATCATTCTTGACCAAATAGCTCAAAACCGGTTTATAAGTGTGCCCGTTAAAATAAGTGAAAATCGATTCCAGCAGTTGTATCGTCAACAGCACACACAGAAATTACTTCTGTGGAGTAATTTCTTCTGCACTGACACCTGTCGTATATAATCCAACGCCCGTCGTAGTATTAGCCAGGGAAGTAGTTGATTAATGTCAGTTCATCAACCTACAGTGTAGGTGAGTTGAGACTGGCCTGGACAGCCAGTCTTCAAGTATGCTCCTTTACTATATGTGCTTCATCAGTAGGTAGTAATTGGCCACACACTGGTCTACAATTCTTATAGACAACAGTAGTAGTTACCTCACTTAATAATCTCAGTTTTTGAACTGTAAGTAAATTTTGAATATAAATGATTCTTGTTATCGGTACCTATACTGATGTGTTGCTGTGGGTGATTAGAATGATTGTTTTTATGGGGCTGTATGGGGTTGTTTGTGAGTTGCGAAATCGTATTTGTTATGTATACCACTGAATTTTCATCTAGGAAAGACTTTCTTTGTCAATATTCATTGAACATGGAACTATATGTTTGAAACAAAAAAACATTCGTGATAATTCAAATGTGACTGTTTTCATGTTACCACTAACTTTATCATATCTACAAGCGTCATTTGGATGTAGTTGTGAAATAACATATTCCATTTCAACTAAATTTGTTGATTTCAAGAGCATAGTTTGAACAGTTAATACTTCTGTATGAAACTGGAATTTCAGAACCCAATGTACTAGCAATATCAACAAAATGATTATTTAGTTCATCACAGAGTCAATTCGGCTTTCTAACTTTCATATTATTCATTCTCAAACTTTTTATCTGCTTATTTTTTCCTCTGCTTCCTAGGAGTCATGTGACTTGTCCATTTTTTCCAAGTCCCCAGCCATTCAAATCACATCCATTCCAATAATCTTGCTTTCTGTATCAATCTGTACAACAAGTCTCTTGCTGGACGTATGTCATATTCAATATGCGCATAAATTATGACTAACTGTCTGTGTGTCTTTATTGCATTTCCTGAAAATAAGATATTCGTTGTATAGCCCTGAATTTGTTCATTATCATTACTATTAATAAGTGTGTTATGCATTAGTGATTTTATACCATTTCAATTCTTCTTTGGGGTTACATCGGACCGTTGGTGTACTGCTTGCTCCAAATGTTTCTTTTTTTTGACTAGTTTGTTAATTTTTCAACATGATATATTGCATCAGGAATTTTTCCTTGTGTAAAAATAGTTTGTTCATTTTTGACTCTTTTCTTCGTTTTATTGATTTTTTAATGTTTAACAAAACTTTATGATACCATTCAAATTCAGTAAGATGTATTATTTGGTATATTTCAATTTACTGATATCAAATGGTTCTATTTCAATATTTACTTTATTTATTGGTTGCGATGAATTTTATATCAATTCAAGCGATAAACATTTTTGGATTTCTTAAACTGTTTTGATTTTTTGCTGAGATATATTAATATTCATTTTTCCAAAAACAGTGACAATACTTTTCTTCAAACGAACTTTTTTTTGTGGAGGACTTAATACTTTATACTGTTTTTCTTTTGGTTTATAACCTTCCACAATCTGAAATAACTAAAGGTAAATCGATGCAGAATCTGCTGAAGTGTAGTAAAGGCCAAACTGAAAAGTTCAACCCGAAAAGCTACAGCGTAATGTAAACTACTGGAAAGTCCAATAAGTCAGTAACTTGTACAAATTGAAAAAAAATCTATTGAAAAAATTAAATATTGAAACTCAACTTTTTTAAGTGGTCAGCGTTTCGAAAAATAATTCTTCTTCGTTTTCAAAACCTGTATTCTCTATAAAAATCTCGTGGTATTTCTAATTTTTTTTGACACAAGTATCAATATTTAATTTTTTCAATTGATTTTTTCAATTTGTAGGTAAAATTTGTGAATACGACAAGTTACTGACTAATTGGACTTTCGAGTAGTTTATATTACGCAGTAACTTTTTGGGGTGAATTTTTCAGTTTGCCCTTCACTACACTTCAGCAGATTCTCTATTGATTTATCTTTCATTTTTTCAGATTGTGGGAGGTTATAAACCCAAAAAAACAGTATAAAATAATGTTACTGTTATTATTATTAAAACCATTAGGTATCTCATAGAAAAAATTAAAAAATATTTATTAAATTTTGGTAGTCTACATACGCCGCAAAACAATGAATTTGGAGATATGATTCTCATTACAACGTATGTTAACGGAATTTTCCTTTCTTTTCTACCTCAAATTCAAGTGTTTCTTTATAAAAATATCAACATTACCTCCTTGTTTCTTCCTACAAAATAAATAGATGTGGAACCTTTATTCTTTTCTTCTTCCTCAGTGAACCAAATTTCATGACGAGTATATAAACGTGAAGATTATTGATCATCATCTCTAATTCATTTATTTTATTATTATACATCTTAAATTTATAACATATTGCTTTCGTTCTTCATGAGTGACACTCACAAGAAATGTATTGTTGAACCGCCTAATTTGTCTCTATTAATATTCTTCAGCACAATTGGAAAAGTTATTTTCAATTTTCTCCGATGTTTATTTTTCCAAATATATGAATAATTACTTTTTTCTAGGGCTTCACGAAGGAATTCAGTTCCCTCACTTCTCTGATCACACACCACTCAGTAATGCCGGAGCTACTTCCCTGTCCTCTCTCGCTTAGCCGTTATCAACCTAATTTCGTAAAATCGGAATCAGAAAGAGACTTTGCTGACGTTGACATTGCACCTGACTACAACACCCTAGTGGACTTCAGAAAAATGATGGCTGACTTGAATGTGTAGTTCCAAAATTTGCACATCTAGAAAGAAAAGAATTATTGGAGGTTGACGCAGTGAATCTTTGAAAACAACCAATCATACTCTGGCAAACGGATCATTATTGAAGAGTATGAAACCACTTCTGATGTAAAAAAGGTTTGTCATCATTAATTACTTCAGCACGAACGAATATAATATTGCATTTTCCAATTAAATATACCTATGTGTCAAAACTGGAACTGAATATGCGATATGAATACTTGTTTGTCGAATCATAATCTTTTTTTTCTTCTTTTGTGTTGTAATAGAGACAGTTATTATCATCGCTTTTTCTAGATATCGCCATGAATAGTTATACCTACAGTTTTTTTCTTTTGTTTTTTATTCAGAGTTATATATCATTATTATTTATATCATATAAATACTAGCTTTTACCCGTGGCTTCGCTCGAATTGGATTGGATTGGATATTGTCGTGACTGTGAATAATACAGTGCGACGGTATTACGGTACCAAGGGTTGGAACTTCATTACTGGAATGCTAGATGACGTTAAAGTAGCTAGATTTTGAGTTTTTTTGAAAAACAATTTTTTTATCTTGTATAAAAAAAATTTGTTCATATCCTATGTTACTTCTATTACCTCCAAGAACATGTGTACAAAATTCCATGATGATCGGTTGAGTAGTTTTCGTGTGAAACCGTAAGAAACAAAGTTACATTCGAATTTATAATATTAGCAGGGATAGTAGGGATATCATGTCGAGATTGAACATGATTTGTCAATTTGTTATTTTATGTACAACTTATCAGTACTGATGTTTTCAAATATGTCCTGTAATTGAGTGTTACCTATTGGCAATAATTGATACTATTATTATTATCATTTTTTTATTGTTATCATTATTGACAATGGATTGTTAATCGAAATTTTTTGTTCTATACTCAGCACATCAACTACTATCATCTACTTATGAATTCAGTACATAATTCCTAGGTTAAGTTGTTTTAAATACTCTTAAATAGTCACACAGAGAAATTTGGCTTAGAATTCTTCGATTTGGTTAACAATGACCTGTGTTGCATATTAAATGTGTTTTGACTTCCATTACGTATCTAAAACTTTCGTCACCCACGTGTAAAAATACCTACGTTTCAATTGTGTTGATCATTTCATGTTCAAATAGGTATAACGTACCGTCTTTATTTTCGTTATTCATCCTAATTATTTCACTTTTTTCAGGATTGACAAGAAAAACCAGAACCCAATCCACCAATCCTGTCTACATCTGGGAAGATTCAAATGTACTCAGAAACTACTACTCAGCAGTGAATAATATTGCAGCTGTTTCGCTATATTCAATTGAGCTGCTTGCCGTATTATTTTGGTTTGCGTCCGCCTTGAGAATGAAAAGCTGTGTGTTGAGTAGAATCATTCTTTCAACAATAAGATTTGCTCAATCAACCTCCATATTCTTCGGTCGTGATATACTTTTTGCGTGTAGTGACCTAGTCGTTGATATTTATTTGTGTAACACTATCGTTTTATAAAGACGCAATCGATTTGTGTACCTTGTGATACCTCGGGTCCAGGAACTTCTCAAGAAGTGTTGGAATTCTCCTATTGTTTATTATTCTATGTACCGGAGCGCAGGACTTGTGATTTTGATACTGTTTTCCAAGAAATATTTCTATAAGATTCTTGTATATTACATGAATGATTTGATATTATTTTTGTAGATATCGTGTAAGCTGGTAGGGATCCATCATGATTCACACTTACAAAAAATAAAAGTCAACTCTCGAACGTGTATCCTGTAGAGACGTAATGTGATATGCAAGAATCTATAAGAAACTCCAAGCATTTGATGTATTATATAGATATATCAATGTCCTACTGTTTTCATTTTACATATGGTTGTTTTACTGTTCAAAGAAAGTGTCGAGCTCGTAAAATAATTGTGAACTTCTGTAAATTATACAATAATTTTTCAGAAATCACGAAAGTTACAAGACTATAATTCCAATTTGTGAATAATCGTTGAACCATAATAAAATATTTTCCACTAAATGTATATTCATATTCAGGATTCATATTTATACAATAACAAAATGATGTTTTGTTTCTTGAAAGAAAAATAAAAATATATATAAAATGTAGATGATATCTATTTTTTCCTATCATTATTTTTCAACAAGCATTATTCAAATATTCAGAGTGCATGTAATATAATATTGTTGATGTAGTATTTCACATACCGGGTGTCAACAAATCTATTAGCCAAGTCAAAACTTTTGGTTAGGTGTATCAAAATGAGATTTGGTAAATGAAAATTTACTTTAGTGAATTTTTCAAGAAATTGGTATATTGCAAAAAATGTGAGTGCATCACTGAAATTATAAGTTGATTTTGTAAGATTTGTTAATCCAATCGCAAATGAATTAGTAACGTTACATTGGAAATGTTGGGTCTTGAATTCATGGTTGAACTCATGACCCTCTGTGATTGAATGAGTGGCATATGTGGTTTTTTTTTCATTCTGGAAACTGTTTCTGTGTTCTTTGAACGTTCTTCCAGTTTGACCTAAATAAAACATTGGACATGACCCACATGATAATTTATACACTCCCGATTTTTCTGGAACTGAACTTTTATCTTTGTTATTCTTAATGTGCATGCCTAAGTTATTGTTGGTTTTGAAAGCAATATTTACACCTCTGTTGTCTAGAAAATTTGAAATATTCGTAGTGGGTTGACCAAAGTAGGTTAAAGTTTTATAACTTTAATCCTCATCTCTTCAAATTATGTAAACTTCCTTCAAAGCTTGGCTGTATAACTTTTTTGTTAATAAAGAATGGTTTAGTCTGCTATCGTAATAATTGTTGGCGGCTATTTGTTTTATTATGTTCAGTTCTTCATTGAAATTCGCATCTGACATTTATCAGTCTGTGTATCATACTTCTTTGTGCTCATACGGGTAGGTGGACGAATTATGAATGATAAATATCTGTATGTGCTGGTTTAAAATAAAATGAAAATTTATCTTTATTGTTAGCTTTCGTTATTATCAAGTCCAAAAAATTTATAGAATCGTCCTTTTCCATCTCCATGGTGAATGTGAGGGAAGGGAGGAGAGAATTGATGAAATTCAAGTCAATTGTCTGTTCGTTCCTGTGAAACGTACCAGGATGGGACTAAGTGGGTTTCCCAGTATGAGACCTTTAGGTACATTGAATTAGAAGTAATCTTGTGACAAACAAACCGTAAGCAAATCTACTAGTTCCTCTTTCATTCGATGTAAAGGATCTATTTCCCAGCATCTTGAAAGTTTTTTACTCATCCTGCAAAGGTCTCATAGTGGGAAACCCATTCAGTTCCATTTTGGCAGAAATCTTCATGAAGATTTGGGGAGAAAAATACACAGTAAACTAATAGTCAAAAGTTCCGCGTATCGGTATAGTTCCTCTTTCATTCGATGTAAAGGATCTATTTCCCAGCATCTTGAAATTTTTTTACTCATCCTGCAAAGGTCTCATAGTGGGAAACCCATTCAGTTCCATTCTGGCAGAAATCTTCATGAAGATTTGGGGAGAAAAATACACAGTAAACTAATAGTCAAAAGTTCCGCGTATCGGTATAGATATGTCGATGATATCCTGATTTGTTTCACAGGAACGAACAACTAATTAACTAAGTTCTTGAATTTCATCAATTCTCTCTACCCTTCTATCACATTCACCATGGAGATGAAAAAAGACGACTCAACAAATTTTTTGGACTTGACAATAACGAAAGTTACTAATAAACATGATTTTGAATTTATAAAGATGACAACGCAATTAATCACATTTTGAAGTTTATGTAGTTGGAATTAATGAATGTAGGGATATATCTTATTACCTACGCTCGGCTATATACACTCCGATATTTCTCTTAGGTCAGTAGTAGAATACTTGAGAATGGTGTAAGAACCGAAACTTTTGTCGTTTTAATATCAATACATATCAATATAAATAAGTCATCAATATCACAAGCAAATATATTCTTATTCACCAATTATGTTTACAAAACTTTTGAGAATGATCAGCAACTTGATACGATTTATACAGATTTTTCGAAACTATCGATAAAGTTGATCATGACATATTGCTTTCAAAACTCAACAAATTTGGTATCAACCATGGTTTAATCAATAATTACCTCCAGAATGGTATCTTTGTAATCAGATATAATGGTTTTTACTTTGATCGCTATGAAATCAACTTGGGTGACCCACAGGGATCAAACTTGGGGCCTTTGCCGTTTGTTTTATTTATCAATGATCTAACATCATGTTTACATTTTTCTAAAGGGCTCATTTTTGCAGATTATTTCAAAAGCTTTAAAGAAATTCACACCATTAGAGGTTGTGTTGCACTACAAAAAGGCATTGATAGAATATATAATTGGACCATCGGTATGTAACACAAAAAATATTTTTATAAAAGGTGATAAACAACAATATTACAGTTTTAAACATACTCGAACTCGTAGATTTTATTGTTCCTCAGTATCCTACAAGAAGTCCAATCTTTTTTTAAATACACAAGGCAAGAAAACAAAATAACTGCTCTGAGTCCTCTCACAACCATGCTTCGTAAAGCAAATGAAATTAATGTTTTAACCAATTTAGATTTCAGTAATTTCTTCTCAGGTTTCAGATATGATGTTAATAATTATTTATTAGAAATATAACAACTGTGATCGTAGAGAATAAGTTTGAAAATAAACGTTTCAGTGTATATGTATAGAAGTAAGCTCACACAATTAATTTGTAATAAGAATTTTCATGTAATTAGGCTGTTAAGTCTGTATAGAAAATAAAATAAAATGAAATAAAATAAAATAAAATAAAATAAAATAAAATAAAATAAAATAAAATAAAATAAAATAAAATAAAATAAAATAAAATAAAATAAAATAAAATAAAATAAAATAAAATAAAATAAAATGAAATGAAATAAAAATAAACAAGATTCCTATGGCTGGGATTCAATCAAGTAAGCGAGTGAATGCCATCACATACTGTCATCAAAGACATGGGTATATTCAACTCATTATTCATGATCGAAAGTCGTAATTTTATGAATGAATTGAGTGCTTCATCTCATAATGTTATCCAGATTTGGTGCTGAAGAGGCGATAAGGCAAGTGTCTTATGGCGAAACATCGTATGTCCACCAGTGTCCATGTAAGTGAAATTTTACCTTTTTCATTTATTTTATTGTGTAGCAATTCCGAAAATGATATTCGATTCAATTCCACGACGAATATCTGGAATACAAACTAGGAAAAGTGTTTTTTGGTCAGTTTTCATGTAAAAGTATTCATTTCAAAAGTATTTTTCTTTCGAAAAATTCAATGTTCATATGAACATATCTGTTTCGAGAAGGCTTTTCTTCCCCTTCATGTCCAAAAGTAATTTTTTTTGCATGATCTACACATCCTTGTATTGAGATTCTCACTTTTTTGAGAAGTTGAATGCCATAACCTGTCTTTTCTTAAAATTAATTTCTCCTATAAATATAGCCCATTCAATGTAACCATTTTCTTTTCATAATGAAAATTTTAAGTTGACAATATGGTTTTTTCTTCAAATATTTCACGAGATTTTCATCGATTCTGCAGGGATCCTCCGGCACAAATAAGTAACACTCAATGGGACTGACAGAATTTGAAATGGAAATTTCAGATATTGTTCACTTGATTATCAATTATCATTGTAAAAATATCAAAATAAAACATCAAATGTCAATAGAGTGAGAGTCGCTTTAAAAGGATTAAAACATTTGATTGAAGTAATGTTACGCCTATGAGTAAGTGAAATATTCATTGAGAAATGTATTCAAAATACAAGAATAGAACTCAAAATAGTGTAATTTTCCTATTACTATCAAAAAAGGCATCAATAATGGCATTAATTATTTTATCGTTTCTTGTCTCTCAGGCAAGCAAAAGCAGGGCAGCAAAAATATCCAATGAAAATACTAATGATCATGATAAGACAATAGTTGAAAGTTATCATATTCATTTGACGTGACATTATCGTTGATATTGAACACGTTTGTGATTAATATCAATGATTATTTTAATTTATTCATAAATTCATTCAGTTTTGTAAACACAAATGAGGAATATAACGTAAAACTGGAACCTCTGGCGTAGAACAAATCTAAACACGAGCATTTTTTCCAATCACCAGAAATACACTACTATTTTCGACGCGCGTTCCAGCAACTGAGTTGCCGTCTTCAGGAGGTGAAGAAAACTGTTTCATCAGTCATATTTGCTGATTGCTGGGAACACTGAAAGTTACATTGTGGAAATGACCTGGAACCTATCTACGAAGTGCCTCATAAAGTCATTTGGAATCAAAATACTTTGATGCGGCAAGCTGGTATGATCTTGGAATTCAAGAGTAGAGAGAGCACCATTTCACCAAGAACCGCAATAACCAGAACAACAATTCTTATACAGTGGTCTGGATAGAGTCTGAGGAGTTCGAAGTAAAATGTCGTGGTTCACCCGTTCCACGAAGTTCTACTCTGATGGTAGAGAAGTACTACATCAGGCTTCCACATCGAGAACTGAGTCTTCTGTCGCTCCTACAGGCGTCTTCGTAAGGGCAAAAAATGTTATCGCCTCTATTTTCCCGAGTTTGTCCCCAGCCTAGCACCACTGATGAGACCTATGGAGAGTCAGTCGAAAAAGCACTATCTTGTGTTGTGTCATATATGCTATGTTTTTGGGTTCCAGTGTCAACTATCATTTTTATTTCCAAAACACTCACAGGAAATCAAATCATATTCGAGCAGCTGAAATTATGCCCATCATGCATTACGTTGCACCCTTTATATTTGTTAAATACATAATTTATGTATGAATTCTAATAAGAAAACCATTGACTAATTGGTTTTCAAATCAAGGCCACCTCCACAGATGAAATAAATAAAGCAATTTCTTATTTACAGAAAGAATCAATATTTGCTACTTTGTCAATACAAAAAGCTAGTGACTGCATCATAATCTTT